AAATTGTTCCGGACGCCCAGACGACAGCGTCCAAAACTAAGCAAAAATGAGCTCGTTTGTCCATTAGCGATGGCAACTATCTCACGTAGGAAGGACTTGTCTCTGGAACGGCCAAAAACTAACCAAGTTACTACCCCGAGAGTGTACGGTGGACTCGGTTGAATTTGGAGGGCCGGTCGAAGGCCGCACACAGGGCCAAATTAGCAGCATTGAATTAAAGCTGCCGTTTCTTCCGCCTCTCTGCGCAGTGCAGCAGATTACCTCATCGTGCACGGCCGGTCCAAGGCTGCATGAGGCCTGGAGCAGAATCTGACTCATAGGGGCCCCTTTTGTTGCTAAAAACATCAGCACCTTGTTGAGATGCTTCACCAAGGCCGAGAAAGAGTCACACGCTGTTATACAAAGGGCCCATAGTAAAGAGTTACATTTTTGATTCTGTTAGACACCAAGGTCCATTTCTCACAAGACTCTGTAGACTTTTTTAGAATCTCTTCTCGGATGTAATGGTAAAGCGTCTCCTTTCGGCGCTGAAAGTTAATAAAATAAGTAAAGTCTGAATGATTTTCTTGGCTGATTTTATGCTCCGAGTGTCAATACAAATTATGATTCATCGATTGAGATTCTCGTTCTCAACAACCTCCAACAGCTTCTGTGTTAGATTTAGTGAAACATGGCAGAAGGGAGTAGATTAATTGGCCAGCATAAAAAGCAAAAAGTCATAATCGCAGTTTACCAATTTTGTATTTGTAAATTCAAAGATTGACAGCATCAGATTGCTGCTACGGTAACAAAACAAAACTATAATAACTACATTAACTATGAGTGTTGTTCTTTGAAGTTTTACAAAGTCAGCTTGCCAGCTCCTTCAAATCTGGCATTTGAATGTTAAACCATTTAAAATCTTTTTTTTTTTTAACTTACGCATGCCTAAACAATTGAATAAAATTTAACAGCATTGATAATCTCAATAAACAAATGTTACATTTATGTGGTCCGTTTTAAAAGATTAGCGTTTACTGAAGGCCCGATTTGTTTAATTTGGATTAAAAAGAAGTGCAAATTTGTTGTTTTTAGACTAGCTGTGGGACTAAATAGGATTTCACTGGAGATCTTTTCCCGTAACACACAATTACACAGTAACACTTTGACATTTCCTGTCAACTTGACACCTTTTAATGGGAAAAACACGGTGGACCGCTGCTTTACCAGCTGTCCGATCGCTCCGTCTGTCTTTTTTACTGCAGTGAGCCTCGATGATGTAGCCAAACTCCGCCAAGTACGGCATTGTTTTTGCGCCACGTTAGATTCGTCGGGTTGACGCATTTTGACCTGCTTCGATTTTCCCCCGCAACACGCAAACTTCCCCATTCGCTCGGTGCGTTGCACTTCCGCATCGCTAAGGATTTGTTGCCACGCGTTTGGGCAGTGTGAAGGAAAGAGGAGACCAGCTGCAAAAGCAGGCTGCTGCGAAATGAGAAGCAGGTGATCGGTGTCGGCAACAAGAGACAATGACGCATTAGATGCATTCTCGCTGATTATTGCCATAAAGGTTCTGGAAGAATTTTTTTCTGTTTGGATGAGAAAAAGTTAGACACATTACCGTACAGCGGAGGGCGCTGCAGGTCTGCCTCCGTGCCTGCAATGGCAGCCGGAAGGGGCCCCCCGCCCGCCGCTCTAACGGCTGCAAGGAGCCCTGTCACCTGCCTCTGCAGGCCGGCGACGGCGTCCTGCAGCTCCGTCAGCTGCTGGACCAGCTGGGTGTGGTCCATCGGCGCGACGGGCGGCCTGGAAGGGCCAGCAGCCGGTTCACCCTAAACGGTTGGAGAGAGATCAGCAGATAACGGAAAGGAAAGAATTTAGACTTGGCTTATGAGGGCCATAACAAATGTAACGTCCAGACGTGGACACTCACTTGTTCCGGAGTGCTGGCAGGTGAGGAGCTGAGGGGCGCCATCCAGCTCCCGGCCACCCCTGCAGCTGCTTCGTCCAACTAGTGGGGAAAAGAAAACTGTGAGTGTGGATAAATGCTGGGGAAAAGATTTCACAAGCGTGAAAAGACAAGGACATTTCTCAAGTCCATATAGAAAGACAGACACACACAGCTACACAGAGGGACACACGCACACAGAAAGACACACGCACACAGAAAGACACACACACTGTTAAGAAAATAAATTTAAAATAAGCTAGTTTTAGAACTTAACATGTCTTGATTGAAATGGCCTGAATTGTGGTTTTAAATCAGTAACTTATTCTGGCCTATTGACCTTTAATTTACCTGTAGTTACAGCAGATGGTTTGCTAGGATCGTTTGAACTGCCTTTTGTCTGTGGGAAAACAATACAGTAGAAGTTCCAGCTTTTCACACTCATCTGTGAGAAGCCGTAAAAACGGCAGGGGTTTCTGGCTTGAGATAGAGGGTCAGAGACAGCTCCTGGTTGGAGGTAGCAAAGATACGCCTTATTTGAACAGATTAAAGATAAGAATACGGCCTTTTACTATAAAACTTTCTACAAAGAAGTAACAAATCAGATGTTGCTCTTGCAACTTCTCCAAAGACGTCTTTGCTCTCCCCATCTCTTGCCTCAGGTAATGAATGTATGTCTAACTTTCTGTTGTATCTTACACTTTGTTCCGATTTGGGTTAAATTCTGTGACGTCATCATGCATTGTTGTATTTTTGNTGCTTTGAAACAATTGATAAAAAAAAAAAATCATTACAAATAAACTAACTCAAAGTGGGTGGAGGGCCGCAGCTTCGATTGGCGACACCTGCTGGAAAAGAAAAGAGCAAACGTGGATAACCACTTCTCACTGATCCGTCAGCACAAGTGATTCAATTAACAAAAAACCACTACTTATTCCACTGGCGCCATCTAGTGGACGAAAAAATGAAGTGCGCGTTTCTGCCAGACAATAAAAAAGAAGGTGTTTTGACCGGCAGTGTTTCATGAGAAATGCTCTCAGTGGGTCAAACACTTAAGTCAACATAATTGAACCTAGCTAAGCAATCATTTGCAAAAATATAAAAAGAAAAAAGCAGAAAAGTCACTGTGTTTAAATTCTGTATCTACTTCTAATAGATTACTATTTTCCTTAATAATATAAGCTCTTTTCCTTATTTCTTCTATATTTAAATTATTGCTACTATGTATGTCAACAAATTTCCTAAACAGGATATTTGCCTTCTCCTCCTCCTCCTCATTTAGAGCCATTTCATCTCCATTCTTAAGAACTGGATAACCACATTCCCTTCTGATTCCATTCATTGGTTTAATCATTCCCCAGATTTTTTAAATGTTTGTTTCCTTTCCTATTGAATTACAGAAATTTCCCCAATAAACCTTTTTAGCACTTTTTACTGTTCTTTTAACCAAAGCTTGTGACTTTTTAGATGCCAACAAATTCTCAAAATTCTGTTTACTCTTCAACAGTCTAAAGGCTTTATTTCTAGATTCAATTGTCAAATCACATTCCTTTGTCCACCATGGTACTATTTTTTTATTATACTTTCCTTTTTTCCTTTGAATTGGTCCTCGGGCCGCTCCTAAAATAGCTTCGCAGATAGAAGAATTTACACTATCTATATCCAAATTTAAATTAACCTTTAGCATTTTTCATCACTTATTATTTTATATTTTTCCCAATCAACATTTTTAAAAATCAATCTTTCTATATTTCTATTATCAAATTTCTCTATTTCTAAACTGATTTCAATAACAATAGGATAATGGTCACTTCCTAATGTTGATTCTTTTAAAACCTCCCAATTACTAATCCCAGCAAGATTCACTGAGACTAGAGTTAGATCTAATGCTGATTCATTTCCATTTCTAATATCAATTCTTGTCCCTTCTCTATTATTAATACAAACCAATTGTTTCTTATCCATTGTTTGTTCTACCACTTCTCCATTTGCATCATTCTTATGACCCCACACAGTGCTAAAGGCATTAAAATCTCCACAACAAATTAGACTTTTTCCTAGATTTTTAAACATTTCCTCTAAACCTGAATCTAAATAATCGACAAATAAGATAAATGATTTAAAAACATTTTTTCCCAAAACTCGAGGAGCGGCAAGTCATTTTTGGATAAGGCTTAATGAATTATCTTAGATTAGAAAAAAACAAACAAAAAAAAACCCATCTATAGGTCCAGCAGAAGTCACGTCATGCATCTGAACCGCGGACTCAAATTAATTGTAAAAAACAAATTACGTGCAACTGGGCCGTGCTTATTTATGTCAGACACTTTGAGCAATATTTGGAGTAATTGCAATAAAAATAAAATGTGCTGTTATACACTAATTGTGCATTCACAAATATATCCACTTACAAAAAAATCTATGATAAATTTTCTCTTGAAAAAAACATAAGGTTGTAACGATGCTGTTGTTTGTTTCAAATTATATTATAAGAAAAGGTTGTGTGAATAAATAAACAAGTTTGTGTGAATAAATAAACAAGTTTATGGAAAATTTAAGAAAGCATAGTTGACCTGTCTTTTGTCTTAGTTGTATTTTTCTCTTCTGCTGCAGCTGTCTTCTATTATGACCATAAAAAGATACATTTTTAGGCTGTGACCCAGTTGTAATAAAAATTAAGCGACCATTTCTGCCAGACAATAAAACACGTTTATTTGAAATGAATGAACTTTATTTTACAAAAATGAAATGTGAACAAAATTCAAATAAAAAAAATAAAGTATTTGAAATAAATGAACTATTCTTTATTTTACAAAAATCAAATTTGAACAAAACTAAAATAAAAAAATAAAGAACAAAATAGATTAACAGTTTGAACAATATTGGCAACAAAAGGGGGGGAGAAAAAAAGGGAAATGAAAATGTGGCTTGAACTATCCTAACTGACCCTAACAAAACAGTTGAAACATAAAGTGGTGGACCCTAACTCTATTCTGAATCACTTTCAGACGAGGACAGATTTACAGGCTCTGAAGGAAGCACTCTCACCCAGGTTGGCCGCCCCGTAGGTCCTGTTTCTTTTTGCCACCCAGAAAGATTTGATGGAAGTTGTCGTTTTCCTCCCTGAGCTGCCGTCTCTCGTTGGGCTGAACTAACGGGGGCCTTAACCCTCCCGGGAAAACAAACCGGTGGTTGTGGTTTTCCTCCCTGAGCTGCCGTCTCTCGTTGGGCTGAACTAACGGGGGGCTTAACCCTCCCGGGAAAACAAACCGGTTGTTGTTTGCCTGCGGCAGCGGCGGCGGAATCCTTAATGGCTACAAAGGGTCCTACCCCCGTAGAACTCCCCCGAGAAACACTTGTTGCAGAAGAGGCTGGCTTCTGCTGCCCAGGCTTTGTAGAACCCCGGTGTGCAACAATTTCTTGACCGGGTTTGTAACATTTATTAAAGACATTTTTGTCTCCTTCGGTGTACACCACTTTCCTTTTAGATGTAAAGGATTCATCTCGGAGTTCTGATCTTGACGAGTCCTCCGCCGGTACGGAGGACTCTTCAAGTGGGTGGGAGGGCAGAAAAAGATCCTGGCTGAAGTCCCCCAAGTCTGCCTCTGCGTCGCTGTCTGAATGCGACTCCTGGGCGTCCTCCTTGTCCCCGACATGCAAAGAACCCCGTGCGGCTTGCAGACCTGCATCGACCTGCGGAGATGAAAAGCGAAGAAAAAAAAAAGGCCTGTTTGAGTTGGACTTGGCTTAAAGGTGTTTTGGAGGCTTCCGTTACAAAGCTGCAAGACTCACATCGGTCGAGGTCGCCTGGAAGCCTGGGAAGCTGGCCGCTCCCTTGAGGCCGGCGTCCAGCCAGGCCTCCTGCAGGACGGTCCCAGGTGTGCCCAGCGGGGTGCCGTCCACGGCATGAAAAAGGAAAGGTGATGAGGAGGTCCCGGAGCAGCAAGAGGTTCTTGTCAGGCGGTCCAGCCAGCAGTACTCCTCCTGGGTCACGTGGAATGACGCTGGGCCCCCGGCTCCGCCCACCTCTTGCTCGTCGACCTGGGAAAAAAGGACAGATCGTTTTTTCGGGACCGCGAGAAGACGCGGATTTTGTTTGGAGCCCTCGTTCTGATGAGGGGGATGGGGGGGGGAACTCACCAAAATCCTGAAGCCAGCCCCGTCCCTGAACGCTTCTGCACATGCAACATCCTCCTTTCTTGTCCAGGTGAGGACGGCGGGACTGTGCCGGGAGGTCTCAGCCAGGTATCCGAGGACATAGCCCATTAGGAGGGCGTGAAAGCGGACAGCCCCTCTCCTATTTTCCACGTATCCTGAAAAACACACGCAGATCTAGGTGAAAACCAAACAAAATTCGACGCGGCGTGCCGGGCGGCGATCGGGGAAGCAGAAGCTAAGAGATATGTAAGAACTTACTAAGGAGCTCTGGAATCCGCCTCCGTGCTACCTCCACAAAGTCCACGTCCACCAGGGGGCGGGCGTCCTCTGGGTAACCGTTGGAATTTTTTATTTTATTTTAAAAAGTCCTTTGAGAAATCAGATGAAATAGAAACATGTAGACCGCAGGACGGAAGCTCTTACCGTCTTTAAGCTTGCCGGCGACCCTGACCCGGTGCACAGCAGCTTTCTTCGAAACCCCTCCCTGGATAGTCTTGAGTTCCTGTACGATCGCCGACAGCTGTCCATCAGAGAGCCGGCTGGATTCTTGATGGCTCACCTGAATATGTTGGATAAATTTCAAGACGTTGCCCAGCATCTGTTTGACAGTGGTCGTCGCGTAACCCTTCTCGTCTAGGTGCTTGGGGTAGCTGGAGAACAAAGGTTAATTTCGTCATTCACTTTTACACTTTAAATTGGATCACATCTACTTTGTTTGAATGCCGCGCCATTCTGCGGAAATGGCAGGAGTACACACCTGCGGAGCTTCTCGTTGTTGGTCAAAAAAAGGTCACGCTGGCCACCGGGAGACGCCAGGCCGCCAAGCAGAAACGCTTAGCGTGACTGCTTGCCTGCTGTGCGTTGTCGGTGTCCGACTCCTGTGCGATCTCCCAAACAAGCTCTCTTGAAGTCACCAAGGATGACCTCTGCCAGAGGATAGTTTTGTTTAGATCCGTTAACAGTTGATTTCGAACCACTTTCGTTTCTATCTTTTAAGAATCGATGCCGTTCCTTTTGTCGGAAACGATCTCGCATATGAAGGACGTGTAAGAAGAGCCGCCTTACCGTGGAGGTGAGAGCCGGGTGCGTCCAACGTCTCCCCTTTTCTGGAGGCCTGAGTTCTTCTTAGCGATCTATCGGGTGTAGAACATACGCTGTCTAAACTTGCAACGCTCTCCTCAAGCCGGCTCAGCCTGGAAAGTAGCTCCTGATATTGATCCGAGCTTATGTTGCAAATGTGTGAACTATCGGAGACTTCTGGGCCGGCCGAAGGCTCATCGACAGGCTGGGATTGGCCGCAGGGACGCAGGGGGGAGTCATCAAAATCAGCAAAATCAGCATCTTCGAAATCAGCATCTTGTAGATCCTTCGACGGGCAACAGAAAGTGAAGCATTTAGACTCGGTTTACCAGGTGCACAACAAACAGATCTTCCAACGAGATACCGATACTCACTCGGTCAGTTGGTCGGTTGGGCGATGAACTGATAAGTTCTTTCCAACCTGGTGGCAGATAGTCATCCATATTTGTCCAGGAAGCAAAACCTGGTGGAAGCGATTCAGACAATGCGGAAAAATTAGGCGAGCGTGAAAAAACAAGGCAATTTCTCTCGTGTTTCTCAACAACAAGCTGAAAAGGTCAAAGCACATCTGTCGGGTGAACGAGGCAGTTCAGAGCGATTCAAAATGCACAAATCACTTCTTCTGACTTAAGTAAACACTGATGAAAATATTTTTTTAACTATTTGCCATTATTCATATCTAAATGAAGAGCCTTTTAAACAATTTCAAGAACTTCAAGGAAAAAATGTATTAGGCAGTAAAGGGACACAGTCTTTTGTATAAAAAGTCATTAGTTTAAAAAAAAAAAAGAAAATGTAAATGTTTAACTATTTGTGGCCTATATGCAAATGTTTGTAACAGAACCTGAACACAGAGAGAGAATGGAGAAAAAAGAAAGAAAAAAAACATTTAACTATAACCCTGAGCTTGCCCGTTGTTAATTTCTTATTGTCCAACATTTCAGTGTTGTAACAAAATATTTAAAACTTCAAACATTCATACTTCCTGAGGGCAAGCAAGCTGTGTAACGTAACGAACAGCGTTCCTAACAAACCTTTTCCAAAAAAAAAATCTTATTTATACATTCACTCACCCTGTAGAAGCGCTGGACCTTCGCTGTGAACAACCACCATTGACTGCGCAGGTAGATATAGGGATGCCTGGCTCCTCCTACAAAAATGGGTGGGTGTCTAGATCTCCCTATCCAAATTTGTTGTCACATGGTCTTCCTATCCAAATTTGTTGTCACATGGTCTTCCTATCCAAATTTGTTGTCACATGGTCTTCCTATCCAAATTTGTTGTCACATGGTAATAGCCCTATAAATTTTGGTGGCATAGGACACAATGGCTTGAAACGAATAAATATGGGTGATTCTTTTTTGTTGTGGCAACATTTCGGCCTTAGATTTTTCTTTATTTTATTTAGAATTATTTTTCTGCAAGAAGCAGAAAATTGCTCTGCAGAACTTGGAAAGAGCAAGCAGAATCTCTCACATTCTATGGAAAACGATCACATGCTATATAAAAGATCTAGGTAATAATAATAATAATAATAATAATAATAATAATAATAATAATAATAATAATAATAATAATAATAATTTAAAAGCATTTTTTTTCAAAAACTTGAGGAGCGGGGAAGTTATTTTCGGATAATGTTTAAATTGATCATCTTAATTGAATTCGGAGAACATCTAAAGGTCGCTCTGGAGCGGAAGTGACGTGACGGATCTCAACCGCGGAGTCCAAAGAAATAATAATTATTCTACATCAATACATTACCTAAAAGTGGGGCGTGCGCTTGCCAGTCTGTGATTCAGTGCCTCCATCTAGTGGAGACAAAAATCCACTGCACATTCAACTAAAGTTTCATTTAGTTCATTTAGCTTTTTAAAAATCCAGCCTTTTACAAAATAATAAGTCATTAGTATGAAATAATGATTTGCATTATTTCATAATACAATAAATATTAAAGATTCTTTAACAAAAACATATTTATTTACAAACAAGACTAACACACACACTAAATATTTACAAGAAANGAGCGGGGAAGTTATTTTGGGATAATGTATAATTGATAATCTTAATTAAATTCGGAGAACATCTAAAGGTCGCGCTAGAGCGGAAGTCACGTGATGGATCTGAACCGCGGAGTCAAAACAAAATAAAGATTAGGAATACATTACCCACAACTGGGCCGTTCGCTCGTCAGTCTCTTGGACACCATCATCAGGAAAAAAAAAAAGGAGAGAATAATAAGAATAAGTGTCATAAATCTGCCAAATGTCGTCAAATATTGGGGGCAATGAACTTTGATTACCCATAATTCTGCGCTTCGACGCTATGCCTCATGGGTAATGAAGTTCAGAAAAACAAAAGAAAATAGACGGAGTTTGAGGGAGGTGTATTTTTCTAGAAGCTGATGAGGGGCATTTCTCCGTGTGTGTATATATATATATATCACCGTGGGAGAACAACAACAAGCTGAAAAGGTCAAAGCACATCTGTCGGGTGAACGAGGCAGTTCAGAGCGATTCAAAATGCACAAATCACTTCTTCTGACTTAAGTAAACACTGATGAAAATATTTTTAACTATATACGTTTACTGGTTTGCCATCATTCATATCTAAATGAAGTGACTTTTAAACAATTTCAAGAACTTCAAGGAAAAAATGTATTAGGCAGTAAAGGGACACACTCTTTTGTATAAAAAGTCATTAGTTTTAAAAAAAAAGAAAATGTAAATGTTTTACTATTTGTGGCCTATATGCAAATGTTGTAACAGAACGGAACACAGAGAGAGAATGGAGAAAAAAGAAAGAAAAAACACATTTAACTATAACCCTGAGCTTGCCTGTTGTTAATTTCTTATTGTCCAACATTTCAGTGTTGTAACAAAATATTTAAAACTTAAAACATCCATACTTCCTGGGCGCAAGAAAGCTGTGTGACGTCACGAACAACGGCTCAATCAACAGGTAGATAACGGTTGGAAGAAAAGGCGCCAGCTTCAAAGGCCGAGTCTAAATATCGAACGAATTTCACTTAATTAATCATTTTTAGCCCCCGCAAACTACACACACACACACACACACACACACACACACACACACACACACACACACACACACACACACAAAGACCCAGATTAAATGTTTGCTTTACTTTGGTTTTCCGTATTGAAAACGAATTAAAAGCGCTTGTCAAAGCAGGATGAACAGCGTAATTTTTAAATGTACTGACCACATGTAGAAAAACTGACACCGTGAATTCTGATTTACTTACAATGTAATTACTTGTTCTCCAAACAGCTCGGTGCAGCTTGCGCTCGGCGAACGAGACGAGTCTGCCAAACGCGCGCTCGACTAGGCGCGCTCTGAATGGGACGTGACGTCACGAACAACCGCTCAATCAACAGGTGGATAGGTTGGAAAAAAAGGCGCAAGCTTAATAGGAGAGAAGAAGAAGATTGCCTGCAGAGAATGCTCCGGTTTGTCACCAGACCAGCTTCCTTTGTAAATCAAGCGCTGTAAGTGCCACGTTTAAATCTTTTTGGGGATAGAGATTGGATTACTCTGCAATGGATACAATCGGAAGAGAAAATATGGAACAGCTGTTTGAAGCTTTCGAGTCTTCATCAAGCATAGATGAATTTTTGCATAACCCAGACGTATTTCTGCCTCTTCATGCAACCCCCATTGATAGGCCTACGGATCTTCTGGATGTCAGTGTCGATATTGATGGGGTTGTGGTCGAAATAAAATCCTTGAAGGGGGTCAAGATCCCGTTTTCCAAGCTAAACTTGTCTCTTCACAACCTGAACGGACTGAACAACTCCTGGCACATTGTGAAGAAGCACCTGGATCTCAAAAGGGTGTCCAGACAAGGCTTGGAGCACCTCAAAAAGATTCGGGGAGCCACCCTTGCATGTCTTGATGGTGGATACCGATTGGACATTGTTGTTTTCCCCAGGGACCTGGTGGCCACCAACAGGTTATTTGACCTGAAGGAATTTATTGGCATCAAAAGCCTGCAGGTGGTGAATGGAGTGCTGCAGAAATTTGTAGAGCTGCTCAAAGAGCTACCACCCAAAGAGCTTGGTTGCGACACCTTCAGGAAAACGGTGTTCATGAACAAGGGGAGTATGAATGTACTGCCTCAGGACCAACAACTTGTCCTGTCAGTGTTGGACCAGGCAGTGGACACATTCAGGGATCTTCCTGAAACAGCCATCAGATTTTTTGTCTACAGATTTGGACAAAAGAGCAAAGAGGGCTTAATGCTTTCCTCTATCACTGACCTGCAAAACATTGACCGCTACTCCCTGCACGTGGGCTGCACATTTGCTCCTCGCGATGAAAACACCACCATGTTTTGGTCACGGGCTGGACTACAAGACATGGTTGGGAACAGGAGCAAGCTTTTTACATGCATGTCCATGCACGAATGCGTTAACATGCAGACAACCCTGGACACTGTAGGACCTGATGTCCTGCCAGTCATCAGGGACATAACCACAGAGCCTGAAAAGTTGACATTTGTCCAGTTCTACGTGGACAGCCCCCACACCTTCCATCTGTTGACCTTCAGGCACCCAGTAACCGGCCTAATTGTTAGCTGTGGACTGGCCCACCCGAATTACATTGGGGCAATGAACAGAAGGGCTACGGATTACATCTTGCAGATGGAAGACATGGCCCACAAGTCCATCTGCAAATACAACCTAAGGGTTGAAATAGTGTTGTCCTCGGAGGTGTCAGGTCGAGAGTCTGCGAGAATGAGGCCAGAGAGGTTTTTCAAAGCGACTGGTTTAATTGACCTCTTCAAAGCGGCACCGATTGTGGTCGCTTTCACCTCCGGTCCCGGAGTCCCCGGGATCAATTTCATCTTGTCCCGCTGCCTCCAGCACATGGTGCAGGAACTCAAGGCTCTTGGGATGAGGAACAAAGAGAAAGGGGGGTTCAAAGCCACATGGAAGGCCTTTCAGCTCGAACTAGCCTTGGAGGAGGCTTTCTACGGTCACCCGCTGTCCAATCTCGATGTCCCATACGCAGCTGCTTTGGGAACAAACTCACTCCACGAGTTCAGCCTCACTCACAACAGAGGGTTTATGGGGCTGGGTCCGTTCAATGCAGCTGCAGTTGAGGACAGCCCACCCCCACTGCAACACTGGACCAGAGATCCACTTCAAGCGGAAAGGATCGAGAGGATCTTTCCGCTCACTTGTTGCCTGGATGCTGTCCCAGCCATTCTTGGACCGGAGCTCTTCAAGGTCCTGTTGAAAGACCTGTTCAGAAGAAATGACAGGCTTCCTCTCCTGGAGCTTCAGGGACCAAAGTGTCCAGGGACGCTGAAGGGTCACGTCAACCTTGGGACTTTGGTCGAAAATCTCGCCACGCGAAAATCCTTTCCCAAGCCCTTCACCTTTGCGAGGGCGAGGGAATTAGTGAGTGGCCAAGGCATGGATGTCATGGAGTGTCTCAAGGCCGGTTTTGTGGAGTTGAAGATTCGGTTCTTCCCTGACATCAAGTACCGGGACCTTTCAGGAACCCGCAAGGCAACCTGGAACTTTGCTCACTACTTGGAGGTGGTGGACAAAAACAAAGCCCCTTCAGACGAGGCGACAGCCATGGCACTGGTGGGAGATGTTGCCATGGAAATAGAGCGGAGGGGCCTTTCGTATGCCCGGAACCTGGAGAGGTACAAGGAGCATGGGATGCCGTGGCTCTCCATGGTTCTCAAGAGGATCCCGCCAAGGTTGACAAAAGAAACCAAGTCCAGAATACTTACCTTCGCAAGTGGTGTGGGAATGCTCATGAACCAAGACTTTGTCTCTTTTGAAAAACTGAAGCAGCTAATCAGTGAAATGGGGGTTTCACAGTTTGAGCTGCAAGGCCTGAAGATTCTCTCCTCCTCCCTTCTTCAGAAAGTCTTTGGCTTCAATCTCTGGAAGCTGCACTATGACATTCCCTACAGGATGGTGCCAGTACCAGGGATGAAACCTAAGAAAGACCCTCCCAAGGAGCTTAACGTTAACGATGAGGAAGATGCACCATTACTGGAGGAAGACGAGGAGCCCAACGTCCTTCCCAGTCGCTCTGAGTTCTTGCCATTGGGAACAAGCAGGAAGTGGATGCCCCAAGAGATGGCATACATCAATCTCAATTATGCTGTGAAACCATCCATTGCATATAAAGAGTATGTGAACCTCTGCAAGAAAGCTGGTCTACCTGCTAGAAGCTACAGGGCCTTCACTCAAAAAAGACAGGTGCTGATAGAGCACAACTGAAAACTGGCCCTCATTACCATCAGTCCTCTACCTGTTTCTTCTGAATACTTGTTTAACTTCAGCAAGTGCAAATGCTCCACTTTGTTGAACTGTGTTTATTTTTAAATGTTTTATATTTTCTTGTGTAATATATATATATATATTTAAAAAAATCACATGGAGTCTGTCTTGACGTGTCGTGTGGGCTTAAGTGCGTTTCTTATAC